TAGAGGCGTTCTAGATAGACGGAGACTTTGTTAAAAATATTCGGGTATATTGTATTTGTGGGGAATAACGGTTATATGTAAGAAGAAGGAAACGTTTCCGACCCCATAAAGTATATATATTCTTGATCAGCATCAATAGCCGTGTCGTTTGAGCCATGTCTGTCTGTCCGTCCGTCTGTCCGTCCTTATGAGCGCCATAGGATACCATGGGACCATCCGTAATTGGGATCAGATTGGATCATTATTAAACCCAGAATGAAGAAATGAATTTACAGTGGCTAAACCCACCCCGTCCCGCACCTTATATATATTTTTTGCACATTAGCTCATTCACACTCTGCTTAAACAGTGTGCGGCCTCTGCCTCTGCCGTGCCTTTGCAGTGTGGGGCTCTAGGGGAGGGGCGAGCTAAAGGAGGATGTTAGCGTGAGAAGTGTGATAGATGAGATGACAGATGAAGAAAAAATGTAAAATGGGAAAAAAATTCGGTAAGGTACACAATTCGGTAGCGGGTATAAAAGTTGTGACGCGTAAGAAGCGTCTCACACGTCTCTCACACGGCCTGACTGTAGGAGGGGTCCCCCGGAGTCACCCTGGCAGGCGTCCTTGTCTTTCTCCCCAATAGCGCAGAGCATGTTGCTGGTGATGGGGTGCCTCATGGCGACGCGGCACACGTTCTGCGGAACCAGCCCCACGTGTGCCGCCTGTAGACATTGGTTCCAGTGGTGTCCATAATTGCTTGTCATACCCCAGCCTAAGACTGTGAGATTCGCTTTTTGTGGCAGTGCGTTGAAGTCAATCTGGGGCAGACTCTCAATGGGAATGTTGAAAGGTTGCCTCAGCCTGATCATGGCCACATCCGAGTCTACACCGTGCGACGGGCGGTAGTGGGGCGAAACCAAGGAGAACCAGCTGTGGCGCACATCGTCGGACACCGACCTATCGCCTAGGCACTGCTGCTGTGTGGACACAGTCAAGTCGTAGAGCTGGCGGTGACGCCCCTGCAGGCAATGGGCTGCCGTGATCACGCAGCTGGGCGTAGCCAGAAAGCCGCCGCAAATGAAGCGACCGTCTCGCCGCAGGTTCACCAGGAAAGGATACCCCTGGATGGGAGCCTCGTTGCCGCCGAAGATTTTGACCAGATGCGGCAAGGAGAGCCCATGGAGCTGGCCAAAAAGCGCCAAACAGGCCACTAGTCTGAACATTTTCATTTTCGGATCATCGAGTCGCAGCTTTTATGCGGTGTCAACGCTCGGCTACCGCATTCCCCAGTAAATTGAGTGTCGATGGAGTTTGATAAAAGCTAAATAAGTTTATTGGCTATAAGGAATACTGTGAGCATAAGAATGCTCAGGAATGCAGCTTCACGACGTATAGGAACCACTCCCGGATTGTGGGCACGCTGGTGTAGACGCCGGGCAGAGCCGAGGCGCAGCCGTAGCCGAACGACACAATGCCAGCCAGTTGGCCCTTGAAGACCAGCGGACCGCCGGAGTCGCCATCGCAGGAGTCGCGCTTATATGGCTTCGAGGCGCACATCATGGAGCGGGTGATACCATGGATGCCTTTGAAGGCGGCCAAACAGGAGGACCTGGACCACACGGGCAGGAGAACACTGTGCACTCGTAGGGTTGTGTCCGAGGAGGTCGCACTGATGGAGCCCCAGCCGGACACCTTCACTATCGCTCGAGGTGGCACGGGCTGCGAGGCCAGTGCAATGGTTTCGATGTTGGCGCCCACCATCGCCGACTGCAGCCGCAGGGCGGCCACGTCCATGTGGAGGGTCTTCATGCTAAAGTCCGGACGAATGGCCACAAAGTCCACCAGACGGATGGTGGCATAGGGACCCGCCTGGTTCGACGCTCCACCGTAAATCTTCAGTTCGTCCTTGTTCTTTCTGTACACGCAGTGGGCCGCCGTGATCACCCACCTGGGTTTAATCAGCGAGCCCCCGCACATCTCTGTGGACGTTGTGACTTGCACCAGATACTTTTCTTCCTTGATGCTCGATACCTGCCCCCCAATAATGCGGGGTTGGATACTGTCAGCACCGCCAGCGGAAACTCCCTGCAATGTTAGGACTCCAAGGATGGGAAGCAACTGAAGCATCATGGAAACCAGGCAGCGGATAAACATTGCGGATAGCCAACTAACACTTGGCGATGCGGGAAAATTGGCTTTTATATCACAGCAACCAATTCAAATCTGACGAATCGCGGGATCAACATTTGCACAAATGTTCGAGCAACAATTTACGATTCGAGCAGGAAGAGTTCGGAAGAGTGCGCGCGCGGAAGTTAGAACAATATTCTGTATTTGAACGATTCAGCTACTCTAAATATTTGTGACCCATAAATATTACTTAACAGAACTATCATACACACAGAAACAAGCACTTGGCGATATTATCTATCCAGTCGGTCTATCCAAATCAAAGGATCTTTAGGGATTTAGTGGTATATAAACCTTATGTTCGTAAAGTCTTCTACTATCATAATGCACATCAAGTTTGTGTGCTTGAGTTGAGTTAAGGCGAACAAGTTTCCATCCACAATTCATGACTATAATTGTGAAGTTGTAGACGAAAGGATATTTATTAGAGCCAGCATTATGAATGAATGACGAAAAGTTCCTTGTATGTATCTTAATATTGCGTACTTCAAATTAAATAGGGAAAACCCAGCAAAGCCATTTAATTGTTTAGACAAAACTCCTGTTAGACTAACCTATTTTGATAATGGTTACGAAAAAAGAATTACATTTGTTAGATTTTATATTAAAACACATGATCCATACTTAAATGATACTTAAAATTTATATTGCAAGCATACACGAATATTTATAGTTTTCAAAAGTGCATTCACCACTGTAGAGGCGTTCTAGATAGACGGAGACTTTGTTAAAAATATTCGGGTATATTGTATTTGTGGGGAATAACGGTTATATGTAAGAAGAAGGAAACGTTTCCGACCCCATAAAGTATATATATTCTTGATCAGCATCAATAGCCGTGTCGTTTGAGCCATGTCTGTCTGTCCGTCCGTCTGTCCGTCCTTATGAGCGCCATAGGATACCATGGGACCATCCGTAATTGGGATCAGATTGGATCATTATTAAACCCAGAATGAAGAAATGAATTTACAGTGGCTAAACCCACCCCGTCCCGCACCTTATATATATTTTTTGCACATTAGCTCATTCACACTCTGCTTAAACAGTGTGCGGCCTCTGCCTCTGCCGTGCCTTTGCAGTGTGGGGCTCTAGGGGAGGGGCGAGCTAAAGGAGGATGTTAGCGTGAGAAGTGTGATAGATGAGATGACAGATGAAGAAAAAATGTAAAATGGGAAAAAAATTCGGTAAGGTACACAATTCGGTAGCGGGTATAAAAGTTGTGACGCGTAAGAAGCGTCTCACACGTCTCTTCTCGTTTGAATTAGATTATTTTATATGTACATATATGTATGTCAGGAAGAATAACATCTGATTTGATCTGCTTAGAAAATGGCATCTTTTGGTTTTGAGAAGATCTAAAGCGAGTGTACAAACAGTACCGGCACACTTGCCATAAACAAATATTGATGTAGAATCGCTCACTTCGTGCTGTTATAGCTTGGAATTCGCTAGACCTTTAACTGACAACTTTATCTACAAAAAAATATTACCTATATTTAGTTGGACTTCTGTACAAACTCAAGGCGAAANATCATACACACAGAAACAAGCACTTGGCGATATTATCTATCCAGTCGGTCTATCCAAATCAAAGGATCTTTAGGGATTTAGTGGTATATAAACCTTATGTTCGTAAAGTCTTCTACTATCATAATGCACATCAAGTTTGTGTGCTTGAGTTGAGTTAAGGCGAACAAGTTTCCATCCACAATTCATGACTATAATTGTGAAGTTGTAGACGAAAGGATATTTATTAGAGCCAGCATTATGAATGAATGACGAAAAGTTCCTTGTATGTATCTTAATATTGCGTACTTCAAATTAAATAGGGAAAACCCAGCAAAGCCATTTAATTGTTTAGACAAAACTCCTGTTAGACTAACCTATTTTGATAATGGTTACGAAAAAAGAATTACATTTGTTAGATTTTATATTAAAACACATGATCCATACTTAAATGATACTTAAAATTTATATTGCAAGCATACACGAATATTTATAGTTTTCAAAAGTGCATTCACCACTGTAGAGGCGTTCTAGATAGACGGAGACTTTGTTAAAAATATTCGGGTATATTGTATTTGTGGGGAATAACGGTTATATGTAAGAAGAAGGAAACGTTTCCGACCCCATAAAGTATATATATTCTTGATCAGCATCAATAGCCGTGTCGTTTGAGCCATGTCTGTCTGTCCGTCCGTCTGTCCGTCCTTATGAGCGCCATAGGATACCATGGGACCATCCGTAATTGGGATCAGATTGGATCATTATTAAACCCAGAATGAAGAAATGAATTTACAGTGGCTAAACCCACCCCGTCCCGCACCTTATATATATTTTTTGCACATTAGCTCATTCACACTCTGCTTAAACAGTGTGCGGCCTCTGCCTCTGCCGTGCCTTTGCAGTGTGGGGCTCTAGGGGAGGGGCGAGCTAAAGGAGGATGTTAGCGTGAGAAGTGTGATAGATGAGATGACAGATGAAGAAAAAATGTAAAATGGGAAAAAAATTCGGTAAGGTACACAATTCGGTAGCGGGTATAAAAGTTGTGACGCGTAAGAAGCGTCTCACACGTCTCTTCTCGTTTGAATTAGATTATTTTATATGTACATATATGTATGTCAGGAAGAATAACATCTGATTTGATCTGCTTAGAAAATGGCATCTTTTGGTTTTGAGAAGATCTAAAGCGAGTGTACAAACAGTACCGGCACACTTGCCATAAACAAATATTGATGTAGAATCGCTCACTTCGTGCTGTTATAGCTTGGAATTCGCTAGACCTTTAACTGACAACTTTATCTACAAAAAAATATTACCTATATTTAGTTGGACTTCTGTACAAACTCAAGGCGAAAAGCCTTTGTTTAAGCCAGTTGTTGGTTCTAGGCTGTTATTAGTAATGTGATCTGTGACGTGTGCCGTCTCTGAATTCCTATTTGGTATCAAAAAGTGGGAGTGGAGTGGAGTGTGGTGTTCTTTATAACTGGATTGGATTTATTTATGGGTTGGGCAACAGCCTTATCTTGTAGACTTGTTATTGTAGGTTGTCGGTTCGCTGACTCTCAAGATTTAGGATGTCAATTGTTCGACATTATGCTGTTGGCCCATGTTCGGATTCGGGCCACAGCTGTATACACGCCGGGGTATCCGGACCGGGCGCAGCCGTAGCCAAATGATACAATGCCCAGCAGCGTTGAACCTCTGGTGACTGCACCGCCGGAGTCGCCGCTGCATGAATCCTTGTTCCTGCCGCGGGCGCAGAACATGTACTTGGTGATGGAGGCCAAGCTGCTGTATTCCTGCTTGCAGACACGCTGCCTCACCACTGTGATTTGCGTAGCCCGCAGCGTACGGGAAGTGCTGCCGCCCTCACTGGTAAGCCCCCAGCCTGCGATGCGCACCTTGGAGCCCGCTCTGGGGATGAAAGATCCCATCGATATGGTACCAATGTTGGTGCCCGTCATGGTTTCGTTCAGTTTCAGCAATGAGGCATCCATGTTCATCTTCGTGGACGTGAAACGGGGTGCCACGGCCGTAAAGACCACGGTCCGCACCACGCCATCACTGCCGTCTAGAGTGGTGGTTCCTGCACGCACCAGGAACTGCGAGGCACTGTATCCCTTCACACAGTGTCCGGCGCAAAGTACCCAAAGAGTGGACACCAAAGAGCCGCCGCACAGGCCAGTTCCGCGACGCACCTGCACTAGATACGGCGCTGTGCTGATGGTCGTCGTGGTGCCACCGACAATCTTCGACTGGATCTTGGCGGGTGTCGCTTTCGCTATTGACTTTCTCGGGGCGCTCTTCCTTGCCACAGAGGTGCCCTTCTTTGCCACAGAGGTGCCCTTCTTTGCCACAGAGGTGCCCTTCTTTGCCACAGAGGTGCCCTTCTTTGCCACAGAGGTGCCCTTTTTCACTGCTGCTCTTGTCTTGGCCACAGCTTGACTCCTGTTCGCCGCCAGTCTGCGGACGTTTCCGTTTCTCAATCTTCTCCTTGACTGGTTGGCCTGGGCCGCCTGGCTCATCTCGGCGAGCACAGCCAGCAGCAGCACAGCCACGATCAGGTACTCCCAACGGCAACGCATCTCGATGTGAACTGCTCTGGCGGTGACCTTGCCCCGGCTTTTATCTCTTCGCATTTCGCCGAAAACAAGCTGCGGCACGACACCTGTACAAATACTGCCCCCCCAATGGGATGGAGAGTATCAATAGTTCTTGTTCTTGATATGGTGTTTGAAGAAACGTGACGTCGATGTGACAGCTCATTCAGGGTCGCTATTTCTACCCTGTCTACCCTAGCAGAATCGCCGCATGGTATCCGTGATCCAGCCGGATAAGAAGCTCACATCGGAGTACACCCCGGGACTGTCCACATGGGCACAGCGGTTCGCCTTGCCCCAGGAGACAACACCCACCAGATGGCCATTGGCATTGACCACAGGTCCGCCGGAGTCGGCGGAGCAGGCATCTTTATGGCCCGGCACCGAAGCACAGTACATGCTCTCAGTGATGTTCCGGTACCTGCCGTACAGCTGTTGGCACTCCTGTCGCGGCATAACGCGCACGTGGACGCTGTGCAGCTGATTCGGAAGTTGCGTGGAATCTTCGTCCGTCAGGCCCCAGCCGGAGACCCGGACAAACGAGCCGATCCGTGGCGACCTGATGGCCAGGCGGATGGGCCTGGCGATCGGCTCCTTGAGGGGCTGCTGAAGCTGCAGCAGCGCCACATCGTGGTTCAGGGTGAAGTGGCTGTAGGCCGAGGGCAGCAGGATATGCTTCACGTGGCGCGCATGTCTCATGTCGCTGAGAAACGTGACGCCTCCGCGCACCACATACTCCTCCGGCTGCCCGTCCACAAGGCAGTGGGCGGCTGTCAACACACAGTGCGGGGTCACCAGGGAGCCGCCGCACTCAAATTTTCCATTTCTTCGAATGTTCACCATGTGCGGCTGGTTCCGCACCTTGCTGCGGTGGCCGCCTACAACTCGTGGACTCCGCTGCAGGTCGATCGCCTCGAACAAGTGTTCTCCCGTCACACCCGTGCCGCAGACCAGCAGAATCAGAAGCGGGAAATCAGCACGCATCTCGATTTATCTGTTTGTCTTTCCGTGTTGCTTGTAATGTGAACTGCACTCGACTGGGGCACCCAGCACCACTCTACAATTATTTATAGAGCGGAGCCGCACTGACCTTCCCCAACAGTCACTAACAGCACCCAGCAGCCCCGTACCCACCTTACAAAAAACACCTGTTTGCACACAACAATGAACGTCGGTCGAGTAGGAAGTGAACCGTCGTCGATGCGTCGCCGTCATCTCTTGATTTTTGTTTGCTTCACAAGTGAACGCTACGGCATTAAAGTGGCGCCCGTCTGTAATATAAGAGTAATACATATAAGAGTACTGCTAAGCTAGTAAGCGAAATAGTAAATTAATGTTTAGAGTCAGTTCAGTTTGATATATGTATACGAGTAGGTGTACAGTTCATTTCAGTTCAGAACTATGATCAGGTTTAAAGAATGGTTTTTACTCAGTGCTCAAATCAGCTAAACAAATTTATCGATTCCAGACGGGAGTTAAGGAATAAATACATAGTTTTAAGACATCACAGTGTCTCACTCTTTACCAATAAATGAAAGTACATTTGAACTAACATAACTCTAAAGTGTTCGAAAGCCATGTATAAGGACGCTGAGCAGCTTAACGAAATACAGAAATATGTAGAATTAATTAAATATGTTTTTTTTATATTAATACAAAAAAAAACGAGAAGGGACGTGTGAGACGCTTCTTACGCGTCACAACTTTTATACCCGGCACTCAGGACTACATCTAGATGTAGAAGACATCGCCAACCACTAGATATCGTTCACATTACAGAACACAAAGTAAAAAGCCTACTAAACAAAATGCATCAAAAATATTGGATCAGTTAATCGTATTTTCCAATTTATGAGATATTTAAAACAGCAATAAAATTGGTACTTTTTCCCTGCACATTCTGTGCTAGGTTTCACAGAAGATTTTTCGAAAGTGGCGCCATCTATGAAAATTTCTTATACGCAACTTTGATGGTCACTCTTTTTCTAATACAGAGCGTTAAAAACCTAGTCTTGGTTTTAACTTTTAAAAATTAGCTTTTGGCCACTGTTTCCGCAACTCCTCGCAACCAGTTCAGAATCAAAATCTCGAAATAAAAAGCCAAGTGCTGCTGTTCAAATTCATATCAATTTAATCTCTTCTTCTTTTCAATTTCGATATTCACCTATTAAATGCATGTTCTTCCTCTTTCTCTATCGTATTCACATATCACATGAATGTTCTATAGCAACAAGCTTCTGTCAATAGCTTAATACTACAAATTCATTTTACTTATACAAAATACTAATTGCTCCCGGCCATAAGCCCTTTGCGCTAATTTGGCGTAAACAGCCACCAAAACTGGGCATTGGGAATAGTGCATCTTTGTTCTTCATCTGTCATCTACATCTACAACACTTCTCACACCAACACGGTCGCCGCCCTTCCCTAGACCCACATACTGCAGACTCGCGGAAGAGGCAGAGGCAGCGCCCTCACACAAAAAAAAACAAATATAACCTGCGGGACGGGGTGGGTTAAAAGTCGGAAGAGTCAGCGCCAGGTGGAGGGCAGAGGCAGGGACCGAGTGAAGCAGAAGCAGAGTGTGAATGAGAGAATGTAAAAAGAGCAACAAAAGCTGCGGGCAAGGGTGGGTTTAGCCACTGGAAATTAATTTCTCCATTGTGGCTATAATAATGATCCGATCGGATCCCAATCTGATCTGATAGATATGGCCATTTCCTACGGAATGGCGTTTTTAGTTTTCTTGTATCTTCAAAACTGTAGATTTGAGGGGTTTTCGCCCTTTTTCGGGGGCGGAAGGGGGCGTGGCTCATTTTTGAAATACACTGGTTTCAGTGTGAGCATACAGCAGTCCGGAGCCAAAATTTGGTGGCTCTAGCTCTTATAGTCTCTGAGAACTAGCTGACAAACAAGACGGACAGACCGGCAGACAGACATGGCTCTATCGACTCGGCTATTGATGCTGATCAAGAATATATATACTTTATGGGGTCGGAAACGCTTCCTTCTGTGCGTTACATACAACCGTTATTCGCACAAATACAATATACCCTCTTTACTCTTCGAGTACCGGGTATAAAAATCGGTTTATTCAGAAACCTATGAATCTCTGATATTTAAAATTTGAAGATACGAGAGAACAAAAAACGAAGTTCGGTAGAGAATGTTTATGGCTGAAGAAGGATCAGATTGGATCATTATTATAGCCAGAATAAAGAAATTCATTTGCAGTGGCTAACACCCCTTTTATCATCCTTCCAATTTCTGCTCACTCTCTCTCGCTTGCACACTATTCCTCGTGCAGTGTGTGGCTCTGGCGGAGGAGGTCGAGGTTAACATACATATACATATGTATATATGTTCATACTGGTTGAGAAACGGGTATAAAAAGTCACAACGTTCCTCGTCGTTTAAATTTGAATAAGTTAAAAAACATTAAAATGTTTAAATAATAATAATTAGGTGCGCGATTTAAAAATACGAAAGCTTGGTACAGTACAGTCTGTGCTACAGTGGACATTGCATTGAGCAACGCTATATAAATTAAAGCTTTTAATGCTGCGTGATCCGTACTGTTCGGTACTCTGTATGTTACTTAGGGAACACTATTAGAATACATATATTTATTGCTATTTTATTCTTAGTATTCCTCACCACGGATATCTCTCCGGGTCGTCAGAAGCTGCACACCCAAATCCAAATAGATGTGGGAGAGCTGTCCAGTCAGAGCAGCAACACTGCCACGTACTACATTTTCAGCATGGCGGAGACGGAGATCAAGCTGCAGCAAAGGCTAAGCTATACGTTGGATGTGGACAATGCTGGGGAAGGGAGCAGTGGGGCGGCTGGAGCCAGACCCAGCACGGCGCCCAACAGCTCAGAGTCGACACCCGATCACGATGTCAAGAGCATAGCGCTCAGCCTGGCGGCCATATCCCCGGTACAGATCGAGTATCTGGACGAGACGCGGCTGCGAAAGTCGCGCATCGATACGGTGACTGTGAGATGCTACAGCGACTTCAAGTTCTGTGCCCGCTTTTACACACTCAACCGAAAGCCACTGAACCAGGTCTATCGCGGAGAAAACTTTCTGCTGCGGGCCAACACGCAGGTGCTGGCCGTCGATGATATCGAGATACTGGATAGCTTCTTTATATGTGTAAGTACATCCTTGGCTAGATAAAAGCCGTCTCTAGTTGATGTTCTTTCACTCACTTGTACTCTCCATGCAGGATCACAACCTAGTGCAATCAAACTACAGCTTTAAGCGGAAGAAGTATACCAGCAAGTACAACGCCGGGGACCAGCTAGAGAGTGTGATAGTGCTCCGCACGAACTCCAAAGCGCAGGACTGGACGACTTCCCGGGACCTGGATCAGCGTGGCAAGTTGGAGGGCAATCTGTCATCCAGCAAGTTCACTAGGCGTCCTCCGAAGAGCCACAGCGAGGAAAACTCTGCACCTACGCCGCCTGCCGGCATCAGCGCCTACATGAGCAAGAGCCTGGTGGCTAAGATTTCCACAACCATGACCATCATCAATAGCAACTCGGCCGTAATGAGCAGCTCCTTGCATTCGGAAGACGCGAAGTTTGCCGAGGATGGCGCGCCTACAGACCCTACAATGGAGGGTGTCAGGACCACTCGCGTTGTTTACAACAAAGCGCTGGAAGCGGTGCAGGGAACTGGCCATTGCAGGGGCTTTATCAAGGGCATCTATACACTGGAGGAGAACCCGTCACCAGCCCCTGTTTTCGGTGTATTTTGTATACGATGGCGCAGAGCCAATGCCAAGGAGGAGAACGAGTCCAAGTTCATTATCAGTGGTCTCGACATAGCAGAGCCGCCGCTGAACATCCACTGCACCATCGAAGAGAAGATGTTCGTGAAAATGCCAATGGCCTTCAAGGTGGTGATTAAGAATCCCACGACTCATGTGCTCCACCTCATCGCCACGCTGAGCATCAGCAAGGCGGACAACTTTATTTGTTCCGGTCACAAGCAGGTGAGGAACATCTACAGAAAATGTTTGAATTGATCCTAGATTGTTTGAGTATCTTTCCCAGCTGGACATCTCCATAATGGCCTATGATGAGAAGGAGCTGGTCTACAATCTGTATCCCCTTCAGGTGGGATGGCAAGAGCTGCCCGTCCTCAGCCTGGAGTACAACAGCAAGGCGGATCCTCAGAAGAACGACATTCACAATGCCTTGCTCGACGAACTGGTGCTGCGGGCGCTCCCCAAGCGTGTCTTTGTTCTGGTAAGTTTTCATAGCCTGCTCGATGGCTGGTCTTCTTCTGTTCTAATGCTTGCCCGTCTCTCCACCAATCTCCCCACAGCCGCCACTAAAGCAACAGACCACCAAGTAGGGGCACAGTGATGAGCTGAAGAGCGATGCAGGTAGCTTTAAGTTTTAAAGTTTAAAATATCATTGCTACGAGTATCTATACAATTAAACTACACCTAATCCTCTATTGAGTGGACCATTTACACCGTCGGCCTCTACAGGGGCTCTAAAAAGGTATAAACATTTCTTCAGCTACCTCATTGTTCTGTTGGCCGGGGGAAACAGTGCTTGATTGATACATATGAAATAATGAATTACATTGACAGATATATTAAGTATTTAAAGCTTAAGTTAAATACGCAACCAATTCCTAGATATCCTATGAAATGAAAGCAGGAATGGAAATAGCAGCTGTATCTGAAAATTGGACATCCTAAAAGTATGCACACCAGATCTGATTGCTGTAGACAGGTCAGACATTATAATCGACAAGACTTTATCTTTATATTGATACTAGCTGACCCGGCGAACTTCGCACCGCCTAACAGTCAATGAATGTCGTGTTACTTTTTAGCTGAACTAATTTAGGCTTTGATGAACGTAAAACAATGATACAAAATAATATGTTTATATAGATAGAAACAAAAAAGTACCAACTTGATAGCGCGTGATTTCATCGTTGGTATTGGATGTTTCCAATGTTCGTGACATATTTGCAAATGTATTTAATTGACTTGACCGAATTGCAATCACTTGGCATGCGCTTTAAAGCAATCTTGAACAGCCTGACCAATGCATGATGTTCATGAACAATTTGCTGTAGATCTTGGAGAATTGCGCTCTTCGTAGCTGTGTTGATCCCTTGACGCCTGTCAAGTTGTTTTTCCATATTGCCCATATTGCAAGAATTTATGCTGTGCATCTTCTATAGGTAGCAATGATCCAATGCGATGGTAATAGGATTTTCATTCAAGCACTTTGTGGTAAATGACATTCTTTGTTTTTTGGTCAGGCGCAAGAAGAAATAAAGCGGATGGTTTGCCGACACGTGAGCATGCCACGTACAATTGACCATGAGAAAAACATTCATTTTCTAGATTGAAGCCACAAATAGTCAAGGATTGGCCCTGTGATTTGTTGATCGTCATGGCGAAGGCAAGACGAATCGGGAATTGAATTCGTTTAAACTCAAAGGGTATATCCGTTGGGATCATCGAAATCCTTAGAATAAGAACTTTCTCATCTTTAAATTTTCCTTTAAGTATCGACGAGCGAATCACATTGCTCGTTACTTTTCTTATCACCAAACGCGTTCCATTGCACAGTTTTGGTTGGTTTAAATTTCTAAGCATGATGACTACCGAGCCAACTTTAAGTTTTAAATTGTGCGGTGGTGAACCAGGTACATCCAAGGAGTTTAAAAATTCAGTTGGATAATTAGTGGCTTCTTCTTCGTTTGTTACACAGTCGATAGATTTGAATGAATATAGAGTACCTACGATTTGATTTTGAATTATAAGATTGAGGTGGTATTTTTAGCGGCCAAAATTGCTAGCTCACTTAACCATTTAGTATGTTTTTGGTTAGCAATGATATCCGGGAATACGTTGTTGATAAGCTCGTCTTTTGATGATACGAAATTTCACAAATTTTGAGGAAATGAAATCAAACCGCTCGATTTATCAACAGGAACACGGCCATTACCGATAGTCAGCAATTGCTTCGAGAAATCATCAGCAGATATATCGTTCAACAATGCAACTCTCATATTTACAGACAGTTGAAGTTTCTTTACATATCGCCACAGATTTGATGCTTTTAGGCAAGCGTTTATTTCGTCTGCAGCAGTAGATCTTGGAATGACTGGTAGTGTTTGTCGGAAATCGCCAGATAATAAAATCATTGCACCACCAAAACATCTCGAATCATTGCGCAGATCTTTTAATGTTCGGTCTAGTGCTAATGATTTTTAATGCTACTAAAACTTTGGCCATTGCGGAGTTTTTCGAAATGTTACATGTCGGTTGTTCAGTAGTTTGAAGGTTTAATGGCAATTTTAAGTGGCCAAAATCAATGACATGAGGAATGTCTTCCCAGTTCCACCGGGGGCATCCAAAAAAAAAAAGCCGCCATTTCCATCATCAATTGCATTAATCAGTGTATCATAGACTCCCTTCTGCTTAGGATTCAACAGAGGTACATTCGTTTGAACTGATTGGATTAGTTCATGTGGATCATATTCATGTTCACGTTCCAATTCTCTATTAAATGCGTCATTCATTCCGCGATCTGGCGCTGGCATTCCTAACATAACTAACAAACTGCCGCACATGAGGTAACACATATCTTCGATCAAGAGCAAAGTCTGGTTATGGATCTCCTCATTCACCTCAAGATCGTAATTTCTTGAGCTGACGCGAATTCGATGTAAAATATCTTCGGACATGTTATCTTTGTATTTGTTCCACAGGTCAAGTGGGTTCGATGGGAAGCATGTTAAAATAATGATAGCAAATAATGTGCGTATCTGACTTTGAGATGCAGAAATAATTGCTTCAGCGATTGTCGTGTCCCAATTAGTATCGTTTTCAAGCAAATTTAGCTCTTGACATGCTGCACGAAATGTGGGGCACACGATACCATTAACAGTTCGCAGTGATTCAAATTATGTTGGCCCTCGAAGATGTACCAGCAACAACCACAAATAGAAACATTCGGATCGCTTTGACAAATCGCAAAGAAACTGGTCAGTGTTGTCGCTGGAGGTGTTTCGGCACGTTGAGCATCATTCGACGCTGTGAAATATACCCTCTGACCGTTCTCTAGATGCACCACCAAATGTAAAACAGTGGGATGACGTTCGTGAATAGGGAATGAAAATATACGCCAAATTGCTTCATTGCAGTTCACATATCTACCAACTTGATAGCGCGTGATTTACAAATATTAAATATGATTAAACAAATACAAATGAACAACAAATGAACAAATGAACTTTTTAGACAAATTTCTGAATACACACATGATGTCTTCAGAAAAAAATAAAGTTTTGGCTTTAAGGCCGCAACAAACAGGCCATAGGTTCTTTTTAAGATATATTCTGTTACTCGCGACGGAAACAAATCCAACAAATCAAAAACCATGGCAATCGGTCCAGCCGTTCTCGAGTTATACGTATTGAACAAAATACGACTTTCTTTTATATGCATAGATTTGTATTTGTCGGTAATATTCCTTCGGAAGATACCAGGTACTTGAAGAGTAAATAGGGTACATTGTATTTGTGCGAATAACGGTTGTATGTAACGCACATAAGGAAACGTTTCCGACTCCATAAAGTATATATATTCTTGATCAGCATCAATAGCCGAGTCGATAGAGCCATGTCTGTCTGTCCGTCTTGTTTGTCGGCTAGTTCTCAGAGACTATAAGAGCTAGAGCCACCAAATATTGCATCCAGACTGCTATATGCTTACACTGAAAGCAGTGTATTTCAAAAATTAGCCACGCCCCCTTCCGCCCCCGCAAAAGGGCGAAAACCTCCCAAATCTACAATTTCAAAGATAAAAGAAAACTAAGAAAAACATTCCGTAGGAAATGGCCATATCAATCAGATCAGATTGGGATCCGATGGGATCATTATTATAGCCACAATGGAGAAATTAATTTCCAGTGGCTAAACCCACCCTGTCCCGCAGCTTTTGTTGCTCTTTTTACATTCTCTCATTCACACTCTGCTTCTGCTTCACTCGGTCCCTGCCTCTGCCCTCCCCCTGGCGCTGACTCTTCCGACTTTTAACCCACCCCGTCCCGCAGCTTATATTTGTTTTTTTTTGTGTGAGGGCGCTGCCTCTGCCTCTTCCGCGAGTCTGCAGTATGTGGGTCTAGGGAAGGGAGGCGAGCGTGTTGGTGTGAGGAGTGTTGTAGATGTAGATGACAGATGAAGAAAAAATTTAAAATTTGACAAAACACTGCTAAGGTGCAGATTTAGTCCTGAGTCCCGGTTATAAAAGTTGTGACGCGTAAGAAGCGTCTCACACGTCCCTTCTCCTTTTTTTTTTGTGTGGGGGCGCTGCCTCTGCCTCTGCCGTGAGTTTGCAGTGTGTGGGTTTACGGAAGGGGGTGCGAGCTAACGGAGCGTGCCGGCGTGAGAAGTGTTGTAGATGTAGATGACAGATGAGGAAAAAATGTAAAATTTGACAAACAACCGCTAAGGTGCGCTAAGGTAAAAGTTGTGACGCGTAAGAACGTTTTAGGTTTTTAATGAAGTGAGGGGCTTACGATTTTGTGGAAACCATTCCAGATATCCAGATATTCAAAAGAAAGTCAAAGATTTTAGGGTTTTTCAGAGGACGATGGTTTAAATGGCTACCCAGCAAACACATAAATAGGCACAAATATTCATAGATTTACATAGCATAATACTTGAGTGTCTGTGTATGTCTGAGAGCGTGACTGTAATGTATAATGTATATTTTAATCTGTTAATGGGCCAAGACGCACTCGACATTCTTGTTCTATGGTTGGATTGATTTTTCAGTACATCCTTTGAACGTACATTACAATAAATTTCAACTATATTCCAACGATATAGGAACTACACCGGGTGTCAAATTCCTTGGCATTACTTTCCGCTTGATGAAAATTTAAAGACGCCGCCGCTCTTCTTTTGATTTCGGCTCTCGTTCTGTATAGAAGGAAATGGATAGAGAAGATAAATCATTGGATCGTTCTTTATTTGACAAGGAGGAATATATGGACTTACCAGCAGGCGATTGCCAAATAGCATTTTAGCCTTGTCCTCGGCCTCCTGCGGGGTGGCCCGCTCGCCGGCCGATAGAATCGGCTGACGTTGGTGGATGTGCAGCTTCTGTTTGATGGCCTGCGAAAAGATCACACGTCTGCTGACTGACTTCATCGCCAGCAAGAGGTCCAGCCAGGTCCAGGTCACATTATGGTACTCGAGAGTGGGTATCACCAGGGAATAGTCTGTGATGTCCTCCAGATTCTTCTCTTTATTTCCCTTGTAGCTGACACGGACCGGCACCTCAGGTATCTTGATGTAGATGAAGAGTTTGTTCTTCTCGGCGCGCTCCTTCATCTTCTCCACGTCGTCCTTCTCTATTTTCACATAGAACTCGGAATCCTTGACGCTCTTCTTGCTCTTTCCCGAGCGCTTCGAGGACGCAGACGACGACGAAGACTTTGTTTGTAAATTCGTTGTGGATGCCGAACTTGTGGAGGCGTTGTCGTCTAGTTCATCGATGACCTCCGTTTCGGACGCATCGCGATCTGGGAAGCAGAACTTCAGCATCGTGCTGTAGAACTTCTTAGTGATGGCTATGGTAATCGGCGCCACGTTAATCTCAAAGTGCTCCTTCACAGAGATGCCGCCGACGGGAGCCTTCTCCCGGCAGAAGATTCGTAGCACCCGCTTGTGGGTGTCTACGGGCATGTCCTTCTGTATTTCAGTAGCCAGCAAAACATCCCGATAAATCTCACGGGGCAAGAGGTTCTCCATGCGTATGTTTCCAAGCTCGAGCAGGTGCTCCACCGAATCGTCGCTCTTCGACTTCTTCGTGTAGAGAAATGCACTCAGCACCAGATCGGCTATGCCAATCTGACCATCGGTCTCTGTGAGCCGCCACTGGGCGCGCTTGAAGCAGATTTCGTTGGCGCGCACCATGGTCACGGACTCGTCGGCCCGCACATTCGAGATCTTGCTGAGCTGCGATAGCTGCGTCTCCTTGTAGCACAGCAGCATCATGTCGAGGTCCTCACTGTACGTGTTGAGCTCCTCTTTGCTCTCGCGTATCTGCTGCTGGACGCGGTCAAAGTCCAGTCGGAGCTCCAGGGTGTCACCCTCCTCGATGCGCTCCTTGCTGATCATGTGTATGTCCTTCTCCAGCGAGCGGATCTTCATCAGCAAACTCCTGATCACCGTCTGCTTTTGCTGAATGGGCCGCTTCTGGTCCTCCGTGGAGTGCAGCTGCAGCTGGAAGCGCATTCTGGTCAGCTTTTCGGCTGCCTGCTTGCGCTGCGGCTCCACGTACAACAGCAGATTGTTGACAATATCCAGGATCATGGCATACTGCAGCGAGTTGGTGCAGACATCCAGGTCGTGATGCATCAAAGTAAACGCGTCCACAGGATCGTCCTGTTTCTCCCAGGGCGACAACAGCTCCTCCGATGGTGGCGGCGGCACCTCTGTGATGCTGTTGGGGTCGATGGCATCTCCATAGCTCACGTAGAAGAACTCGCATTTGCACTTGGACACGATCCTTTGCAGCTGCACGGGCTGAGCCTCGCCTGAATTGTCGCTCAGGAAGGCACCGACTGTTTCGGAGACCACTCCGCCCACGCTACGACCGCTGCCCACCAAATGGGAGATATCCTCCGGCAAATTGTTGATCACGGTTTCGTCCTTGTCCTGTATGTTGTCCACCGTCAGCCACATAATCTCCTTTTCTAGCAGGGAGTTGTTGTCTCCCGCACTGACTGTCGCATAGTACTGCATGCACTCCAGCAGGCCCTTCCACGTGGTCTTAGAGATCAGCGATCGATCCCGCCAGACAGGCCGATGCTCTCGCTGCAGTATCTCCGCCTTGGCGGCGCTGATGATCACATAGCCTGAGGTCTCGCAGCCCTTCAGCAGCACCTGGGAGTTGACCAAGCTAATTGACCAGTTCTCGTGTATCACGTCCTGCGAGGCGCACGCCTGCAGCCCCTGCAGTTGCAGTTCCCTGGACTGCGTGCTGTGATCGTCACTGTAAACGTTGAACTTGTGGTCTGCCTCAGCAATAAGTTGCTGAAGCATAGCCGTGGCATGGATCTGGGCTGGTGGCTTCTTCAGCGATGTATTTGCATTGGCAACTGAAATGTAGATCGGTCAGCGGGCTCCAATATCTAGCCGAACTACTACTCACTTGGCAGTACCTCGGCGCTCGTGTTGGACAGCGTGATAGTGCTGTCGCTTCGTTTGTGCTTCATCATGGCCGAGTTTCCGCCCTCCTTTCGGTAGCTCTTTACCGCTTCGGTAGAGAGATTGTTCTTCAGCTTCTGCGACTTCATGAAGGAGTCGAACAGTGCAAAGGCCACGTCCCGATTACTCTTGGTCCAAGCGCCCTTTAGGTCGTACACAACCAGCTTGTGGGTGGGTGTCGTAGACTTTGCCTTCACATCTTCATCCGAAGTGGTAGCCGTGATGGGCATCAGGGCCTCGCGTCCATACGACACCTTCGCCACGCTCAGGAAGTAGAAGCGAACTATTTTGAAGGCGTCCGCAGCAGTGGCCAGGTTCTCTGAGCTGCTGTCCATCTTCTCGGTTACAATGCTCTTCAGCCAGATCTCCGCATCGTTCAGTTCGCAATTCATGTAGACCGTGGACCAGTCCGCACGCGGTCTGTGGATCAGACCATCGTCAATGGGGTTCAGTGTCAGGCAGTATTCGGAGCTGAATGAGACCCGTCTGCCGTTCAACTGGAAGCCCTTGTGCAGGGCATGGGACATCCAGTAGAGCACCTGAAATTTATGCAGACACATCTGCAGATTGGCCTTCTTGTAGTGGCGACTCAGTGGCTTTTTCTTCGGTCTGACATTGTTGAACACAGGACCGCGTCGCGTGGGCCGTGTCACGCCGGAAAGAATTAGCTGGAGGCTCTCGAACCAACGCAGGGTGCTGCCGTAAAGCACCAGACTCGGAATATCGATCTCCACATCATCGCCGGCCTTTGGCTTGGTCTCAAACGATATCCAGATGTTTAGATTCAGCGATCGAAAGGCACGGAACGAATCGTGCACCTGGTTGCTCGAGTACTCGGGCAACTTGTCCGGGGCACAGGGCATCACAGCATGGTGGTCATTCGGATTGGCCAGGCAGACCCAGTTCAGCTTCACCGTCAGCTTTAGGTTGGGGAAATGAAGCAGGCGGCAATCGTCATAACGGGAGGCTGTTCGTACCGTGACCTGTAATAATATTGGCATTTGAAACTAGAGAAACTAGAGAGAAACTAGTCAGTAGTAGCCACTCACATTCAGTTCTCCCTTGAACATAATCTTTGCATTCGTCAAGACTATGCCACAATTGTTCCAAGTCAGCTCCATTTCCTCCGTTGTGTTGTAGGGATCTAGCGAGGCATGCAGCAGAATGGTAAATTGCTTGGCAATCAAAGTCAAGCGACCGTGCAGCAGAAGGCGCAACTTATCCCAGAACGGCAACGGTGGAGAGGGGTCCTTCGAGGGAGCCGAGATCTTCTCAAAGCTCAGATTGCACTGCGCCATCACGGGCTCCCAGCAGGCCCCGAAGGCATAGCTGCAGCTCTCCAGCTCGCAGTCAAAGTCGTGATAGAACTTCAGCGAGGGCATGCTGCGTTGAATCACATTCGTCCCAAAGGGATCTCCCACCTCAATATGGACATCGCGTTTGGCCCGCTTCGAACCCATTTGCTCGGCTCCACACAAATTTCCGTAGAGACGCATGCTCTTGACGTAGAACATTGGCTGCGGAAAGTCCCTGCGAGTCAGAAGAAGATGAATATCAGAAGAAATATGAATGGAAAGATTTGATTGACTCTTACCTCAGCATGAACTTCCATTCTGAGCAGCTTATGTTAACGCCACGACACCAGAGCGTGCTGAACTCCAGTCCCTCCTCTGGCCAGGGGCTCTCGTGGTCGATTTCGCGCATGGTGCGTGTTACATTGTCGTAGCCATGTATGGAGGTGTCTGCCATGGCCATGATCTCCACGTCTGTCATTATCCAGGCCAGCAGGCGGGTGCGCACGGGACCACTCTCCCGGATCTTCTTCGAGCGCTGGATATAAATTTCAGAGTTCTTTTTTACCAGGTTCGCATAGAGGCTTTCGATGGTGCCAGCGGGAACGAGCAGCCTCTCAGAGCATAGCTCGGCAATCTTTTTATCGAACAGCGACTTGCGCTTGAGGCTCTCCAGGTACTCGTCGACCAACAGGACGTAGTTGTCGCGCAGCTTCACCTCGAACGGATCGTCGCTGATCTCCAGCAAGAACTCTTTGATCTTGATCACCAAATCACTCGGCAGCGGTGAGTCCACGGTGAAGGGTTTTTTCTTGTAGTTATGCACCAGTTTGAGCCACTTGAAATGGGACACGCACTCGCTGTTGATGGCATTGTAAAAGTCGTGGTCATACGGAAATATGGCCTTAAACGAGCCAATGGTCGTGACCCACACCCTGTTAGAGGCCAGCTGAAAGCCAGGAAAGTTGAGACGCTCGTGAGTTAAGGCTTCTACGCGAGGCAACGACTGCATGTCCAGTTCCTTCACCGTGAAGATGTGCTGATCGTCGATCTTGACAAAAACATTCTCCGCATAGATGATGTGCCGCTCCTTGTGGCTGAAGAAGAGACCCTCCACAAAGAACTGCACCGAATGACGCTCAGACAGCTTCAGCTCGAAGATAGTGCTACGCTCTGCGGATAACTCAATCACAAGTCCGCCCTGAGGTAACTGCGAAGTCGGCGGAGTCTGTGAGGCAGTCGCTGGCAAGGCTAGTTCCGCCTTTAGATCCTTCATGTCCCGCACCAAGGTGAGCAAGTGCATGTGCAGATTCGAGTTCCACATGGCCTCAGTGTTGCCTGGTATATAAATGGACAGATTGCCCAGCGTGCCGGCTACTTGTTCATGCTCCAGACGGATCATCTTGCAGGTGGCAAATACATCCGAGAAGTCTGTGAGGCACAACGAAGAAGCGGTCATGGAGCGCATTATGGCCATCTGGAATTCCTCCAGTTTCAGCGTGGTGAAGAGTTGCGACCGCGTCAGGTTGATTTCCGAGAAACTGACAAGCACGTATACATTGTGATGGTTCACAAAATAGGCGGTAATGTCCTTGATCTTGACAGAGACTCGCAACGAGGTAGATGATGGCTCGGAATGAGACAAATTCTCACGAATTCCCTGGGGCTGCTGTTCGGGGGATTTCCCTGGCTCCATTCCCCTGTACTGGCGCAGGCATTCCACAGATTTGACCACAAACTCCGCCAGCTGCATGCTGTACTCCGTGCGAAAGGTGTGAACCGAAATGTCCAGTTTGGTGGTGTTTGCATACGAACAAAGCTTGACGAGGCTCACGCCCAGAAAGAACGGGGAACCCGGCGAGTGGGTCTTCTTCAAGTTGTTCGTGTCGTTAATTGAGTTGCCCAGATTGGACCACAGCGTCTCCACCATCAGCTCCATGCTCCATTGACGTTGGTTCAGGAGCAAATTCAGAAACTTATTGCCATAGAAGGAGCTGCGCTTCTCCTCGATCTGTTCCAGCAGGAACCGCGTGTGGCTGACGCTCATGGCTATGTGCTCGTCCTCCAGCTTCATTAGCAGCGACACATTGAACAGCTCAGCACAGCCTTTGACAACAATTCGCTGCATAATCCACTCGAGAACGCCACTGCTCTCGCCCTCGCGGCGCTGCTTCTCTCTCAGGCAACTTTCCGCTGCCTTGTCCAGGTACAGATGATGGGGAAGGGACTTTTGCTTGTGCATTAGCTGCAGGGGATGCACCTGCTGCTGATTGCTGGAACGCTGGCGGGCAAGGAAATTGTTGTTCACAAAGTCATAGATCTCGCTGTGGTTGTAGATAATTTGGAATGTCTTTAGCTTCACATACAGATTGAGGATATCTTCCTCCAGCTAAAAAGCAAACAGAGATGGTTAATTTACAGATTTTGTACACTCTTCAATTGCCACAGTGTACTTGCCACAGAGTCTATGGTGAACTGCTCGACGAACAGAAGCTTCTCATATTTGGTATCAATGTCCAAGTGCTTGAACACCAGCTTGGCCAGCATAGATGGCAGCAATGTCTTCGCGTCCCTCACATTCGAGTTGAATTTTCCCGTAATCTGCAATAAATAAGAAATATAACGCCAATCTCAAATGCTAATGATTTTGGGTTTTGCACTGCTTACGTGAAACAACTGCAGTTTGGCGCTGAAATCGTTTTGCGAGTTCTCTTTGACTGCCGAAAAGGTGGCCGCTTTGATGCTAAAATTAAAGTTCTTTGGTATAATCGGGGCCAGCTTCTCGTAGTTGTCATTGTCGTAGGCGGAGCTCTTAGACGACTTGAAGGCGTCCTGCAGGCGCTTGGACGGCTGGCCAGGTGTTGTCCTTTCCTTGGCTTCACTGAGGAAGTCATAAAGTCCTCCGTGTATCACGGATTTGGCATTGTTGATGACCAGACTCAGCGTCTGTCGAGGACATTTCTCATATAGACGAAAGCTAAGCAATACCTAAAGGTCTACCGTCTACTTACATCCATGGATAGTGGTCCTTGGGCAAAGAGTGAAGCATCCAGGGTCACGTCAAAGCTCACCTCGCCCAGACACGGCCGAATGTTGTTGAGATTCTCCAGCGACTGGCGACGGGAACTGCAATGCCTTAGCATTTTGGCTTGCGCTTCGCTCAGAGCCGCATTGACGAGCAAAACTCGGGCGTTCTGGACAATGCTGCCATCTAGATGCAGCTCCTTTGCTGTGGCATGAATGAACCAGCCCGGGTCAAAATCATTGTTCATCAGAACCACCGAAATGTTGTTTATGTGCACGGCCATGAACTGGGCAAAGGTTATGATACTGGCTGGAACCTTGGACTCTCGAAAATCAGGCACGCCCTTGGCCGCGCCCTCCTTATCCCTATTCGCCTTGAGGGTCTCAACGAAATCAACGCTGCCCTCATAGTGGCGTCTCGGTATGTCCTTGTTGATGCGTATGTCACGGATGTAGATGGACAGGAGCTTGGTCACCTCGGTTGTGAAGAAACTGCTGCGAAGACATACCTCCTCGATTTGCTAAAGACGGTATCATTAATACTACAAATGTATGGAGGTGTGAATCATTGATCGAAATCGACTTACCACACCGAATCCACTCTTCTGGATGTTAACATTCTTGAGTGACAAGTAGGGAAACGTAATGCGCCCGATTCGTACTCTGACCCGAAATCGCTTAACCAAATACCAGCTAATGCCCGCTGGCAATATCCTAATCAACAGAAAAGTGTGTAAAAATGGGTCGGGTCGGTCAGGGCTGGTGGCGCGACGTTTCACTTACCAATAGACCAGTACAAAAATTAAAAAGCAGAATATTAGCAGACGAAACATCATGCTTATGGCTCAACAACCATAGTGCCACAATATAATTTTGAAGTGGAGTAGTCCAGTTATAGATTTATTTATCAAATTTATTTATTTATCAAACATGATACAGCTGGTCGGTAAGAGATAACACTATCGATGGTATCGATGTTTTTCTGTCAATGTTTTGCAATAAAAGAAAGAGATGGTCTGATTGGAAAAGGAAGCAGTGAGAACGAGTAAAATATACTCGTTGGTTTTGGCCTGGTTTTGGTGACTGGTGGAATCACAATGAATGTATATCGATCTATTGATATCATCTCTAGCCAGTCAAAAGTAAACAAATTTAGCAAAATTGCAGAAAATCTAAAGAGCGGGCGTATAAATGTCGTTCCACTTAAGTACCAAGGAGCGTCTGCTTCTGCAAATCGACGACATTGAAATGATCGCAAAGGAACTGATCGAGCAGGCGCACCAAAAGATATCCAGCACGGAGCTCGGTGACTTGCTTGATTTGTTAGTGGCCAAAGACGAGGAGTTTCGCAAAATGCTCGAGTTGGCCGAGGAGCAGGCCAAAGTGGAGGATGCCATGGACAAGTTGCGTGCCAAGGTGGAGGTGCACGTAAGTCCAACCGATATTTAAAGATTATTAGCGTGCGGTGCCTGATGAGTTCCCTGTTTTCCTCTGCTCCACTTGAACAGGACCGGGAAATACAAAAGCTGCAGAAGTCGCTTAAGGATGCCGAACTTATACTCTCCACAGCTATTTTCCAAGCGCGTCAAAAACTGGCCAGCATTAACCAGGCCAACAAGCGACCAGTCTCTTCAGAGGAGCTCATCAAATACGCCCATCGCATCAGCTCTGCGAACGCAGTTAGCGCTCCCCTCACGTGGTGCATCGGAGACCTGCGTCGCCCGTATCCTACTGATATTGAGATGCGGAATGGCTTACTTGGCAAGTCAGATCAAAACCTAAATGGCGGTCCGGTACCACATCAGAACAGCGGACTCACACCAGATGTTCATCGCGGATTATCTGGCCCTGGTGGAGCCGGCAGCGGAGGAGCTGGCGAAGTTCCGAACGCCTTCCAAAACCAATTCAACTGGAATCTTGGGGAATTGCACATGACAATGGGGGCTTCTGGCAATTCGGTAGCGCTGGAGACACGTGCTCAAGATGATGTCGAAGTAATGTCCACCGACAGTTCCAGCTCAAGCTCGAGCGACTCACAATAGGTGTGCAGAAAGGGCAGCAGATAACTTATTATAATTTCTTATATTATATAGCATAAAACTAGTTAGTAGGTATTCAATAAAACCAGTAAAGATTGCAGGTTTAAAGAAAATTTACCCGACTGGCAGACTGCTGTTCCAGCTACCAGAACCCCCAAGCCAGAATTAGTCGGTGCTGCAATGTAGGAGGGGTCCTCAATGACTGCTTTTCCACACCCCCAAGACCCCATCCACACCCTATACCTCAGGCTGGGTTGATGTGAGGGTAGAGAGTATGTGGTGTAGGAGAGGTGTTAAGATCGGTTGGATATACATTTAAACACGGAAATAAATGAGAAGGTATAGAGATTACTCGCCGATTCCGATCGTAAATGTATTGTACTGGATTCGATTCTACTATATGATCATTATTAATATAAGTGTTTATATAACATAGTTAGTTTCAATTTTTTAGTTCGACACGGAACTCTATTTGATACTACAACGCACTCTGTTCTCGATAGCTACATCTGCTTACCCGTATACCTTTTGGGCTGTCTATGTGCTGCGGAAAGAAGAAAATTAATGAATTATTTAACTTCCTATCTACTACTACTACCTACCTACCTAAATTACCTATCTTACCTAAATGCCTGTAATGGTTAAGAGAATTTAGGAGATTTTTGTGCCAGAAGGGGCGTGTGAGATGCTCAGAACTACATCTGTACCTTAGTGTTTTTTTTGTCAAATTTAACATTCTTTCTTCATCTGTCATCTTCATCTACAACACTTCTCACACCAACACGCTCCTTTAGCTCGCCCCCCTTTCCTAGACCCACACACTGCAGAATCCCGGCAGAGGCAGAGGAACGCGAGAGGCAGAGGCCGCACACTGCAGAAGCAGAGTGTGAATGAGAGAATGTGAAAAAAAAAAAAAATATAAGCTGCGGGACGGGGTGCGTTTAGCCAATGCAAATTAATTTCTTCATTCTGGCTATAATAATGATCGTATCTGATCCCCATTCAGATATGGCTATTCCCTACGGAATGGCGTTTTTAGTTTTCCTTTATCTTCAAAATTGTAGTTTTGGGAGGGTTTCGCCCTTTTGAGGGGGCTTGTAATAGCTTGTAACAGTGTGAGCATACAGAAGTCTGGATGCATAATTTGGTTGCTCTAGCTTTTATAGTCTATGAGATCCAGGCGCTCATAAGGACGGACGGACAGACAGACATGGCTCTATCGACTCGGCTATTGATGCTGATCAAGAATATATGTATTTACTTTATGGGGTCGGAAACGTTTCCTTCTGTGCGTTACATACAACCGTTATTCGCACAAATACAATATACCCTATTTACTTTTCGAGTACCGGGTAAAAGAAGGAAAAGTTTGATAAAAACCTCTAAGGTACAGTTTTAGTACTGAGTGCCGGGTATAAAAATTGAGACGGTTAAGAAGCGTCTCACACGTCCCTTCTGCCCTTCTTTTGACAGCTTCTTTGCCAAACCATTTATTAATATTTGGAAAAGGCTAATGGTCTTGTTGCGCCATAAGGTTTTCAGTAACATCTGCTTCTTCGGTTCGTTCGTGTCCTCATCAATATCGATTAACTATGTACCTTGCTCGACTCTGGATCAGTGTTAGACTGATCTTGAGCAGAGTCGACTTCCTGTCTTGGCATTCGTAAGTTCTCAGACTTGGCGTTTGATGCGTTGGTCGTTTCAGGGCCTGGCTGGCGTTGCATCCCCGATTTTGGCAGTCTTTGCATCTTTATCGTCTCTCTCTCTCAGGAGGTACCGCTTTGACAGCTAGTGATACACTAGTATATTCATTGTTAAAGTTCGATGCGTGCTTTGCTACCAATTCGTCTACTTTCTGCAGACCAATCTGCATATTCAGCTTTATAACGGCTTCAGCAAGTGGTCGTAAAGCTATAATGGACCTACTATCTTCATCCACATGAACCTAGTTCTCGTCCAGAACTTTGAACAAAATGGCCGATTGCAAAGTACAGTTTGTCAAGTTACAGTGCAGATTTCGCACAGCCGCTTCACTGCTTTCAAATCTGTTAAATCCACCATTACAAATTTAGTGTGATCCTCAGAAAAATATACCATCAAAACCAAAAAATACCTTTTTTCGGATCTCATTCCGATATATCGAGATATCAGGCTGAAAACGCTTATCAAGTGCTGATTGGGTCGGCGTTTGGATTTGTTCGGCCTATAAAGGTTCAGCTCACTTGTTGATGCAAAAGGTTGTGTGCGCAGGAATTTTTTCGATTTTTTTTAACCCTATAACCTTGACTTTTTGTTTTTTGTCCTTATAAAATAACTTCATGATCGTCACCAGGACGATCACAAGAAATGGATAGTGGATCGCTGATGAACTTGTGTGATCAATATTTGCCAGACGGTAAGCTAAAACCACAAAGTGTTTGGGGATACTTTATAGATGTGTTCATATCAAAATTCACTACAAGCATTCTATCAATCCATATATAAAGTTCAATTTTGTCGGGTAGTGTTATCATATGTAGGAAAATAGCTGATGATCGATAGTCTATCGATAGTGACTAATGGTGAATGAACTATTAAGGTGACGCGGGCCGATTGCGCGTCCATTCACTTTGTCAACTGGCTCTCGGAGCTAGAAAGAAAGACCAAACGTATGGCTACACTCTCGTTTTTCAAACGTTACGGGTTTTCGAAACATGTGAATTTGTAATGGGAGCAGCATTATCCAACATTTGGCAACTTTGGAGGGATGGAGAGAATTTTCCCTCAGCAATGGAATTTACAGTTTAACTTATTTTGTATTTTCACCTATTTTATTTATATATTTGTTATCGTGACTCTCATGGAATCATGGACTATGTATAACGCTACAGAAAATCCATGCTGCTCCATTTTTCTTTTTTCTCTTAAATGCTGCACTTCTTCTATAATTGTTGTACAACTTCTTAGCCCAGTTTATGGAGTCCATTGGAAAGAACCTTAAAATGTTTTTGGCTAAACCTTTCGAGTTGCGTGATGTCATGAGCAGTTTATTTTTGACATTTTTTTTCTTCCTGAGACTATTAATGTTGTCCTTTGATGGGTGGTGTTGCTAAAAACTATTGAGTAAAATCCACGTACTCTTCTGGCCAAGTTGTAGGGACAGTGCTGCACGAAGAAATTGCAGGGAAAAGGGAGGAATCGAAGTAAGCTTCGGTGGCGCTGCTATCAAGCTTAATTATTTTCTATGTTTTGGTCTGGATCCGTATTTTCTGTATCTTCTTCAGCGTTTTGAACATCTTAGTCCTTAGTCCACCTCTAGTTCCAATCAATGCAAAAACAATTCAATCTGTGTTGCTGTTAAGACAAAGTCATAGTTAGTGTTTGAAAGCAGCTGGTAAAATTAAATTTTAATATTTATTATAGAAAATAGGTTACACAAGTGCCCATACTATACCATACTATCGGTTGGCCAGCAGCAAATTGTCAAATAAAGCACCATTCCATTTGGTTGACCTTTATAGTTATATCCTTATTTTGGAAACAATCCAATAATGTAATGAAAATCAGCCAGTCTTGTGGAGAATTGAATGATGATTCGAGTAAAATTACATTTTTAAGCTGAGAGTCCTAACCAGCTGGTAGTATTAAACATAAGATCAAAGTCGAGGAAAATAATTTAAGATTTACGGTATATTTACAGTATATTTTGAAAATGAAAGGGTATATTTCGATATATTTCCGAAGGTCTGTCGGTATATTTGATTGATAATTCCGCGGTCACACTGGTCGCTACTTTTACTTGACGCTGACGTTTTTTTTTGCTTTTAAAATGGAGGTGCAGCGTGTTTTATCTAACTAAGATGTGGCCAAAGTATAGTTTAATGTTGGTGCATATTGCTAATTTAACTCGTGCGCAAAGGCCTTGAAAAGATTGTCGAAAATTGACCCCAGTCAATCCGGAGTGTGCTGTGTGTGTGCCCCGAGTATATTGGAAGAAGCGAAGAAGCAGCAGAGACGACTAAAACTCAAACCAATTGCAATATATTATAGTGGTCAGGGAGCCACCACTGTGGCACCCTGCACTCAAGTTACACACAACACATTTTCTTGTCCCTTATATTCTTGGAAAATTTGCAACGTGTGTGCATCATGATTATGATAGTTGTTTGGATTTATACACTGCACGTCTGTACTGAATTATTGTAGAACAAGATTAGAAACCGGATTACTAGAATTTACGCGACCCTTTCCCTAATCCAAATAACTTTTCCCAAAACAAAACCAAACATGATGATTCAGGAGCCTGTTCAGGTAAATCAATAGCAAAAAACACAAGCACAAAAGAAAGGCAGAAAAACATTGATTTTAAACCCTCGTTCTCTCTCTCCCTCTCTTTACCTGCCCCTTTTCATCAATCATGCAGGCAGCCATATGGCATTGCATGAACTACTACGACCACAAAGATGCTGTCTTTTTGGCGGAGCGCCTGTGCTCTGAAGGTTTGTACTGCTGCTGCTTGCTAGTGCTGGCGGCCTTGGCGTGTGTGTCTTCGTGTGGCGGTTTCTAATGCTTTATTCGCTCTATTTTTCTTGCAGTGGAATGCGACGAGACGATATTTCTACTGGCCACCAGCTACTTTCGCTCCAATCTCGTGCACCAGGCCTATTGGCTGCTCAAGGAAAAGGGACGCCGATCGGCCCAGTGCCGCTTCCTCCAGGCCAAGTGCGCCTATGAGCTGAAGAAGTTTGCCGAGGCCGAGAACGCTCTGATAACCACTGGCTTTGCGGACGCGAAAAACTTTGAAGAGCTGCAGCGTGACTTTGGGGAACTGGCCTGCTTTGCCTACCAGCTAATAGCCCAAATTTGCATAAAGACCGAGCGCAACAAGCTTGCCGTAACTGCCCTGAGGCGGGCCCTGAAGCTGAACCCCTTCATGTGGCACGCCTTCGCGGATCTGTGCCTGCTGGGTCAAGACATCGACACAGCGTCCATATTCCAAATCCAGAGCCCGGATGTGTTCAACACCTGCCAAGGTAGCAGTGCCAATGCTACTTCCATGGTGCTATTTGGCAATGAACAGCAACAGCATCAGCAGGTACAGCAAACGGCTCTGGAGAATCTACTCACAAACATAAGCAATAGCTCCAATTACGTTTGGACCACACCGGTGGATCATCATCAGCAGCAGCAGTCACAGCAACAACCACAGAATCAGAACCAGCATCAGCTTGGGATAAACAACAGCAGCAACCTGATGACGCCCATCAACAATAACAACATCAACAACAATCTCAACAGCTCCATGATCATTCTACGTGGCGGAGGCGGAGTTGCGGCCCAGAACTCCAGCATGCTGGCGATGTTGGAAGATACGCCCATGGGCTGTCCTCAAGAGACGGGTCAACAGCAGCAGCAGAGTCAATTGTACGATGTCAGCAGTGGGACTCCGTTTCGTAAACAATTCAAATACCTATCCACAATCTCGCCCACCACTCCCAGCTTTGGCGTATGGCCCTTGTCAAGTCCCTGCACTGGAAGCGATGGTTCCTTCGTCGGAGGCGGTGGCAGCGGCAACGGAACCATTACACCTGTCATGAATATCACATATTCCCCCGTGCCCCAAATGCTGGTCGAGGTTAATCAGGAGCCCAAGATGATGGGCAAGAAGCTAAAGACGCACGTGGGGGGACTGATAAGCCGCAAGGACAGCAGCAGTAACAGCAACAAGCCCGCCGTCTTCACCCAAACAGGCAATATAACGCCGCGAACGCCCAACAATAATGTGGGCAATGGCAATAATCTTAATGTACCGCCCAATCCCAACGCAGCTGTGCGCCGCAGCTCGCGTCTGTTCAGCAACTCCGCCTACTCTGTGAAGGAGAACAACAAGTCGCCGAACATAGGCAACAATAAGTTTGTGCAGCCACGGTCGCCGCCCAGGAAAACCAAGTCCCGCATGACGAAGATCTGCCTGAACAACGAGCTGATTGAGGAGAAGGCCAGCCACTTGTCGGACAAGCTGAGCGAGAAGCAGGCGCGCAAGGAGAAGGTCGAGACCATTACGTCGGCGGGCAACAACAACAATAACCGCAGTGCTGCCGAGGAGGCCAAGGTGCTGCTCAACAACAGCCTAAACAATGCCCAGACCATGGCCCATCAGCTGCTGAGTCTGAAGAAGCAGTCGGCTGACGGTCTCATGTCGCTGCTGCGCGATCTGGCCGAGGCCTACAAGCTGCTCTCGACATTTCAGTGCAAGGCTGCCATTAAGCAGCTAGAGACGATACCAAAGCATCATTTGAATTCCAGTTGGGTGCAGTCCCTGATTGGCGTGTGCAGATACGAGATGAGGGACTACGAAGCGGCGGTGGTGCTCTTCGAGGGCATACACAAGGCGGAGCCATGTCGTCTAGACTACATGGAGATATACTCGACATCCCTATGGCATTTGCAGAAGGAGGTAGAGCTTTCCTCGCTGGCCCAGGACCTGATCAGCCAGAACAAGAGCAGTCCAGTGACCTGGTGTGTGTCTGGCAACTGTTTCTCCCTGCACAAGGAGCACGAGACGGCCATTAAGTTCTTCAAGCGCGCCGTCCAGGTGGATCCCGACTTCGTATACAGCTACACCCTGCTGGGCCACGAGCTGGTGCTCACCGAGGAGTTCGACAAGGCCATGGACTACTTCCGAGCGGCCGTCGTTCGGGATCCCAGGCACTACAATGCATGGTTCGGCATTGGCACCATCTACTCCAAGCAGGAGAAGTACGAACTGGCCGAGATCCATTACATGAAGGCCTTGAAGATCAATCCCCAGAACTCTGTGATCCTGGTGCATATCGGGACGATTCAGTTCTACATGAAGAAGAAGGACCTGTCGCTCCAGACCCTCAACACGGCTGCCACGCTTGATCCGAAGAATCCGCTGGCGCGATTCCATCGGGGCTCGATATACCACTCGCTGGGCAAGTACCAGGAGGCTTTGCGCGAGCTGGAGGAGCTCAAGGAGATTGTGCCAAAGGAATCTGTGGTGTTCTATCTCATTGGAAAAATACACAAGACTCTGGGCAACATGGACCTGGCCCTAATGCACTTCAGCTGGGCCACAGATCTCGATCCTAAGGGGGCCAACAATCAAATCAAAGATGCCTTCGACTCGATGGCCCACCCCAGCTGCTGTACGGCCAACACGACTGCCCTCGATGTCGATCTCGAGCCCACATCCGAGCGATCTGATGACTCGACGCAGGCTCAGCAGGATGTCAGCTACGACAGTGACTATTAAATGGGTCTGTGACTCCTGTTGCGATGCTGATGATGGTTGTACATACATTTACGTTAAAAAAAAAAAAACAAAGTATAGCCACGATTGCTGCTGTCGATTGTCGTAAAAGTAGAAGAATGGGAAGGAAAACCAATTATTGAAGTATATATAAAGTCTAGATATCGTTTAGAATTAGTAACTTAAAATATACAACAAACAAAACAAAAACGTAAAAGGTTTAAACAAAATTGTGCACTCTGAAAGTCTAAGGCAAACATAACAACATAAAAAACACAAAAAAGAAAAACCATACATATTAAATACCAATTAAAAGAATACAGAAAGAAATTGCTACAAAAGCTTCCCGATACTTCTATGTGGCCCGAGGGCGCTATTTCCATTGCTGACTCGGACCTTTCCTGTCCTGTCGTCCCCACTCCTGTGCCTCCTCAAAAGAAAAGAATATACCGAATTATCGAAAAACTAAACACTTAAAAATAAAGTAAAAATCAATCCTTGGTAGGCTTCTCCAGTTTCAGTGGCCAATTCAGTATCTGCTCGTGCGTGAGGCGCTGTGTCAGGTCAAGGACTGCCCGAAGGCGCACCAACTCGACATTCAGCATCATTGCCATGGCCGGCAGGTGATCCTCGAGGAGGATATACTGGCGCGGGCACTCAATGTTCAGAATGCAGCTGATGTTCTTGGTTCCAAATATATCGCCAATGGAGTCGCTCAGGGACAGCGTGTCAGAGCTCTCCGACCACGGATTGGGTGGCGAGAGCGAACGGTCGACAAAGGTTGCTTTCTGGGGCCCTGCTACGGTAGTGAACTCTGGCGTGGGGCACATTTCACGCAGTTGGACGGCTTTAGCCGCTTTGGGTCGTATGTGCATGTAGCTCCTGTCTCCGCCTCCCGCTCCCAGTGGTGGCAGCTGGTGTAAAAAATGTGCTGGATACTTAGGCGGCAGCTTCGATGAAGACTGCTTCTGATGCGCCGTCTTGTGAAAAGAGGATAATTGCTTAGGTTTGCTTTGGGTTAAGGATCCCCCGTGAGACTGCCTTAAAGGAAGAACTTTTTGTGGAATAGTGGAAGAGTCTTTATGCAGTTAACAATTTGACAAACCTTTGTCTTCAATAGGAGATGCAGCTTTAGGCTGATTCTGTTCGAAAAATGTAGAGGATTGTTTTGTTTTGTCATGAGCTGCAGTCTGGACCTTTAACTGTCTTGAAGGGATGTTCTCACTCGAAGAAAGCAAAGGTCGAATTGGTTGCTTCGAGGGCACAACTTGAGTGTAATGAAGCTGACTACACTGTGCAGCTGTTTCTCCAAATAGCTGGAGTGAGTTTTGATTTAAAATAGCAGGGCACTGCTCTCGATACTCTCCTAGCTCACTCCATGAAGTTGACTTAGCCACATCTGATTGGTTCCTCTGTTGTTCATTGCAGTATCTAATGCTATTGTCGGGATTTTTGGTTTTTACTTGTGCCGGAGGTCGGCCCCTCCGACGCTTTGCGGAAACAGCCTCCTCTACAAACGAGGAACTCACTCGTCTTTTGGCTGCTACTTGTTCCTGGTGCACAGTTTGAGGCAGAGGCTTCTGCTGACAAAGTAGCGGCTGACTCCAATCCTCATCTGTTTCTTCGAACAGTTGCGGGGAACCAGATTTGGTTAGGAATTCTGCTTTTGTTTTCAAACGACTTTCCTTTTCCACCAATCGTTGCGATCTGCGCAGTTCTACTTGCGATTCGGATACAACCTGTGATGCGTAAGCTGCTACACTCCGACCAGGCGATGGGGTCAGATGATCCATTCTTAAAAAATTACTTTTAACAACAATTAAAATGTATCCTAAAACTTCCGTTAATTTTCGACCAACGCAAAAAAACGTTAGCCCATTGTTTGATAGGACCCGCTATATCGCTATATCGAATCCTCGATATTTCGGTATATTTATGAGTTTCAACGGGTATATTTAATCGACACGCCCGCGGTCACACTGGCTGGTCCTAAATAATTTTGATTCGGTTTTTTTTTTTTGTATCGAAATAGAATAAAAATGAATGAATCCGATAACTATAATATAATAACAGATCCAGCTTTAGTGAAAAATCGTATATTTGTCGGAAATCTGCCGGTATGCACGCGCGAGGAGCTGGCCAGCATATGCATTCCTTACGGCCAAGTCCTGGGATCGGTGGTACAGAAAAATTTTGGATTCGTACAGTTGGAGTCAGAGGAGGTGGCCAACAAATGTGCGACAGCCCTGAACAAGTCCACATTCAAGACAAAAATATTAAGAGTACGCAACGCGAACAACAGAAGCCCAAAGGGGGTGAATGCAAACGGAAATCCAAAAAACACACAGATGCCCCACATTCCTGTGACAGTCCAAGGAGGCATTGTGATGTCCGCAGCGGCTGCAGCAGCCGGAGAGCCAGTCATAAATGATTGCGAGATCATAGTCGTAAATCGGGATAATACGTAAGTTTTTAGTAACTTCGGCAAGATTTAATCAACATATAATTACATTTTATTATTTATACAGAAAATATGCGGAATACATTGAGCACCGTCTGAGGAGTATTGGTATGCGAGTGGATGTTCTGTTTCCCAATGCGGAAGTCATGTTGGGCAAGGTTTTGGCCAACATTTCATCTCGCGGCTGCCTTTACGCCGTGCTAGTAACGCCCCAGCACGAATCTCTCAATAGCATAACAGTTAACATATTGTATGGAGTCCCTGCCGAGCATCGCAACATGCCGCTCGAGGATGCCGTCACCCTAATCGCCACAGACTTTAGGCTGAAGGCCCAGCGTGATGCAGTAAACACGACATCCATGCCAGTTGCGAGGCCCCACCACCAAAGACGACATCCTGACCAGATGCAGCAACTGATCGAAATGCTTGCAGACAATCGGCCGCTGACGGCCTTGCAATACGAATGCATAATCAAATATGTCGAAGTGGAGCGCCAGGAACAGCTGAAGAGGGAAGTGGGCGAGGTCAACGCCGCTGTCAAGCTTCAGGAGCCCGATCCAGATATTGAGGCGCAGAAGAAAATTCGTAGTATTATGAACAGACCTGCGGTGACCGAAACGGACGTTGAGTTAATGTATCCCAACCTGGAGGCCGTTAAGGAGGACAAACGGCTCATGGAGCTCCTGCGGGACGAGCGTGTAATAACAGCAATGGAGACTATTTTCAACAGCGACACTTTATTAGACGCTGTAGCCGAATTTCTATAAGTTCTCAAAGTTTAATAATAAAATATAAACGGAACGGATTAACGAGCTCTAACAAAAGATCTAAGGCCAAGACCGCTTGGCTTCGTGCCCCTGGTACTTTCCACGATACTTTAGACCCGTTACCAGCGTGGAGCTCTTCGGGAACGCTGTCTTTCCATTGAATTTTGTATCGGTGTCCGGATTGAAACGCAAATACTCGTACTGTATGTGCAAATTCTCTGGAAGGTCTGTGCGCTTGAGAGCATCCAAAGGCGAAATCGTATCCACAGGAGTCTGGTAAAATGCAATCACATCGGCAACGGTGATGAGTTCATGTACCTGGGAGTTTGGAACTCCGTGCTGCAGTTCTTGAAAGCATGCTGATAGAAATGCAAACTTCTCGGACAGATTGTCCAGCCTTCGGTTGTCACTGGGCAACTGCAGCGAGCCGGCCACAGAGCGCACACGTTCCGCTGCATTGCTAGGGGGAGCATAGGGCTTGTGAGGCCGCAGAAACCTATGATAAAGTGGATAATATAATTATAACAAGAATGCATAACATACTGAAAATATTTACCCCTTTGCGGCAATTGATTCACCAACAGCTGCCAGTGTCTTGCCTTTGACGGGCTCCGATTTTTTCACCCTGGCCCCAGTGGCGTAACATTTGTGCAGAGTCCCCACAAGCTAAGAGGCACCATGTGTATAAAGCTGTATTTATGAATTATTAAAATGATTGGTACTCACATTTTTGCCTTTACGTAAAATTGCAGCCATTTTCCACGACAATGGTATTTTTCGTGGCCTTTAGTGATGGTATTTCTTTTCGGATAAGGCCTAGTTCTCAGACACGCGAAATGTTCTTGCCACAGAATCAGGGATGATTTTCACATACAAACGATAAGAAATCAACCCTGTTTTTTGTTCAACAAAATATTTTTTGGAAACTATTTTGCAGTTGAGAACTCAGATCAGCAAAAAATATAGCAGAAAACTTAGCCGACTAAATACTTCCATCGCTAAGCGAAAGAAAGACATTTTGTATCTTTTGGCGACAACGGATTATATGGAAATTATAATTTATTACTCTTATTCTTGGTAATCTTTTTATCAATTTATAAAAAGATAAATCACATGTTTATTGCATTGCGATCCCGCCGAAACGCCATTATCCAACACTGCGGGGCTTTTTCTATGCATTGTTTTCCTCCAAGCTCCATATCTACTCTGAAATAACACACTCCTCATGCTTTCATACAACATTTTTAACGGCTTGCATTTTGTAAACAAACACAAAACAGTGTACCCAGAGAGCATGCACCTTGGACCACTTTGGTCATACTCGGCACAGAGCAAAATATACGGCACTTTCTGTCGCACAAATATTTTGTGTATTTGAGTACTGGGCTGGGTGTATTTTGGAAATGTATAGGTATATTTCGGTATATTTGTGAGGGTCGGCCTGCATATCTTATCGATAATTCCGCTGCCAAACTGTGCCTACGGGCACACTGCCCTTTCTTTCTTTTTCCGGTCGCGAAATGGTAAGCAACGCAGTATAATCGAAAACTGGAAAATAAATTTATAAACATCTCACGAGTGGTTGCAAGTGATTGCTTGTGAACTGGAAAATGGGATGAATGGACAAGTGCGCAGCTGCTTATAATAATATTTCCTTTTCAGGGTATTGATATCAACCACAAATACGATCGCAAGGTTCGTAGAACCGAGCCGAAATCTCAGGATGTTTACCTGCGATTGCTCGTCAAGGTAAGATGAATTGCTGGCTAAAATTGAATGAGTAACGGGTTACTAATTTACATATCTATCATTCCCCAGCTGTACCGCTTCCTCCAGCGCCGTACGAACAAGAAGTTCAACCGCATCATCCTGAAGCGTTTGTTTATGAGCAAGATCAATCGGCCACCACTATCTCTGCAGCGCATCGCTCGCTTCTTCAAGGCCGCCAACCAGCCAGAGTCCACTGTTGTTGTTGTGGGCACAGTCACCGACGATGCCCGTCTGTTGGTGGTTCCTAAGCTGACGCTGTGCGCCCTGCACGTTACCCAGACAGCTAGGGAGCGCATCCTGAAGGCTGGAGGCGAGGTCCTCACCTTCGACCAGTTGGCCCTGAAGTCGCCCACCGGCAAGAACACCTTGCTGCTGCAGGGCAAGCGCACAGCTCGTACCGCCTGCAAGCACTTCGGCAAGGCTCCTGGTGTGCCCGGCTCGCACACGCGGCCCTATGTCCGCTCTAAGGGACGCAAGTTCGAGCGTGCTCGTGGTCGTCGTTCCAGCTGCGGTTACAAGAAGTAAACAACAACATCCTGGACTTGGACCGTCATCGGCCGTCGTCACTTTTTGGTTAAGATATTGCATTGTCAGTTTGGAGGAAACTAGCCGTCGCACTCGATGCGGCAATAAAGAATTTTTATTCCAAAAAGTGAAAAGAATATTCTCACGCTATGTACAAGTAATAAACCTGCTCCTAGTGCAAGTGAGTGCTCCAATAGTTGATCAGAGGCTGGTCCTGTGGTTGGACTCCCAACACCTTCTTCAGTTTGACCTGCACACTGCTGGACTTGGCGTGATTCAGGCAGGTGGCTTTGCTGGAGCAGGGGAAAAGAAGGCATTTAAGAATGCTAGTTCGGATTTTCAAGCATTTAAATCTTACTTTTTCCACTCCTCGATGAGCACCTTTGTCTGTTTGTTGAGCACCAGTTCTGTGAAGTTCTTCTCCTCCACCGCCTTCAGCAGCTTGACCATGAGATCGGGAACTGCGGGGAAATATATTTACATACATTTTACATACAACTAGCCCAAACGGATAATATGTGCCAGTGCTTACGTTTTCTGGGTAACTCTCCCGGCCACTTGACGGATACTTCGTGTCCGTTGACTTGTTTGTCCAGAAAATCAATGCGAAACACGGAGGCGCTGGCTATGGGAACGGCAATGTCGTTGGACACCGATATAATCTTATACTCGGAGCTGATGGAGTGCTGGTGTTGTGCATCGATGCGCATGAGATTGTGCATCGGCTCGGGCAGAAGCTTCTTCAAGCACACCATGAAGCGGAAGGTGCGCTCGGGTGCGCCGCGGACTATGATTTTCACGCCCGTCAGAGCGCAGTAGCACACTGTTGCGAACTCCTCCTTGCGGACCACCTTCTTGATGTGGCGCAGCGAGAAAAACTCCTCTTGGTCGGGGTCGTCAATGCTCTCTTCGTATTTCTGTATCATGGGCAGGGTGGAGCTGTTGTAGGTAAGGCGTTGGGCGGGCGGCCGACCGCTGCTTTGATGCGGCAGCCAAGGGAGATTTCCGAAGGTGACGTGCTCGGTGAGAAAACGCGAGCCGGCCAGCAAGAGCCAGGAAAAGTGCGAGTGCAGCTGGGCAAATACGTTCTCCTCGCCCGTGAGTTCCAGCAGAGAGCGAGACGAATGCATCAGAAACGGTACTCCGGAGAGTCGTCTCTGTCGCTCGCTCTGACGCCGCTCCTCGGCCTCCTTGGTTTTGTTTGCACCCGCCTGCAGTTCGGACGAGACCTTCTTTAGATGCTCGGCCAGAAACGGCTTCGTGTTCAGCAGGAAGTACTTGTCCTTCATGAGGACTATGATCGAGTAGAGCTGAAAGTAGCCCCGCGCCTGCATATCACCCACTCGGAACTTGTGGCTAAGAATGTGGCCTCGCGTCGAGTCGCCAAAGAACACAAACTCTCCATCCTTGTTGGAGTCTATCCCATTGCTGAGGCTCAGCACCGCCGCTTGTTTTACCAAGGTGGCCACCTCTGTCAGCACGGCCACTCGCGTGCTCACAAATGTGGCCCCGCTCTCTGTGTCCTTGCTGTATATCCCACTGTTGTTACGTCCCATCGAGTAGTTGCAGGCGGAGCATGTCTTCTGCGATTGCGATTGATTCTGCTCGAGCGGCAGCTCCTCAATCTTGGTGTCCCTCAGCGTCTGGGTGCAGAAAATTGCGCAGGGTCCGTGAGCCTCGCAGAAGTGGCAGAGCGCAATAACGGCGTTCATCGGAGCCTGTAATTAATATAATTATTTTATTTATTTATTTATTTTTTTTTTTTGGTATTTAATCGCTGCCGCGAAATTGGATGGTCGCACCGATGAGTCCGCATTGACCAGGTCGAAATTTTCTTGACTATCGATGGTTGTTAATGAGACCATGCATGGTGTTGCATTTGTATATTCTTATATTTTAAACATTATGATGCTTAGGTTAAAGTGTGGTAGTGTGTAAGAGTTTAACAAAATATATAGTAGTGATATGGATTGATGTGTATGCGTAGGTGTAGGTGTGTATTGCAACAAAAGGTTGCCTCAGGAAGTAGGAAGAACAGATGGTTACTCCTCAAGGTGACTTCCATTGGCACCGAGTTAACCCGACCTGAATAAAATCCAGTGTGTTTCGATTAAAAACTCCAAATTAGCCTCATCAATACATTTGGCCAATTCTCTAAAAAAAAGATGCTCCTTTGCGAGAAATAGCTCCTTAAGATCATTAAAGCTATGAAAAAGTTTTATTATTTTTCCTGATAATATCATGTTGTTGGCAGGAGAAGATTTCATGTTCCGCATTGTCGAGAACTTTACAACTTCGAAAATTTTGGTGTTTCGGGCTTTGATTTTGTGTAAAAAAAACATTATCATAGGTTCGATTTATTAACAGTCTATTTATGACCTTTATGTTTTTTGCACTCCAGTCGAGAGCCCAGTGCCATGGTTTGACTGGAATTTCATTGTAAATTAACGCAATTGTACTCATTGTTCCAATCCGTCTGAACTTTTATTTTAACTTTTCTTATTACTTCATCGAATGTTAGGGGCAAATATAATAGTTTGCCTACATTACTGGCTGATTTGGCTAGTATATCAGTCTTTTCAATAATGGCAATGTTCTTGTGACCGGGTATCCAGTGCACAATCAAGTTGCTCGTGAGGGAATTTCCATGTTGAGGTGGATTTCGTCTGTTAAGTATGAATTTGATTAATTTCTCTTCAGAGCCCTTTAAGGCGCCTTGACTATCGCAGAGAATTACAGTTTTACTGTATCTTTTTATATTAGATATCTTAACTGCCGTCAATACTTCGTTTATAATACGGATGAGGAACTATTTCATTTGAACTATAGCTATCTAGGATACCACACTATTTCCACCATCGATGGTGGCCACTATCGATGTTTTCCCAGCCCGAGTTTCCTGCGGCACTATCGATAAAGTATATCAAATTGTACCTTCTCATTATAAAAATATACCGTAGTCTTAAATTATATTCCTCGATTTTGATGTTCTATTTGATTTTACTAGCTTGCAAAGACTTTCACCACTGAAACAATAATTTAATCAGTTTGAAGAATCAATTTGACGTATTTTAAATTAATTGTTATTGGTTTGTATACCTTATGACCTAATATTTTACAAATTCAAACATTCAAATCACCCCATCTAAATGCACGGGAGCTTTTTCTTCAGTATGTAAATGTATGTAACATGGAAATGTAACATGCGCAAATGGAAATACACAATGGTCGACAATGGGTTAAGCCTTCCATGTATATGATCGGATTGATTTACGATAATCTTCGGAAATAATAATTTCTTGCTTTTCATGTGTTTCGCAATTCTTTAATTGATATTCTATTTAATATTACGAGTTAGTTAGTACACTCAGCACTAAAAGTATACAATTATTCAATTAATCAATTTTTGTCTGAAATGGTAATAAAATGTATATTAAACGAGAAGGGACGTGTGAGACGCTTCTTACGTGTTACAACTTTTATACCCGGCACTCAGTACTACAACTACACCTTAGCGGTGTTTTGTCAAATTTTAAATTTTTTCTTCATCTGTCATCTACATCTACAACACTGCTCACGCCAACACGCTCCTTTAGCTCGCCCCCCTTTCCTAGACCAACACACTGCAGACTCGTGGCAGAGGCAGTGGCCGCACACATCAGAAGCAGAGTGTGAATGAGAGAACGTGAAAAAAAACAAATATAAGCTGCGGGACGGGGTTTAGCCACTGCAAATAAATTTCTTCATTGTGGCTATAAAAATGATTCAATCGGATCCCAATTTGGTGATCTGATAGATCACAGACAGACAGACATGGGTCAATCGGCTATTGATGCTGATCAAGAATATATATACTTTATGGGGTCGGAAACGCTTCCTTCTGTGCGTTACATACAACCGTTATTAGCACAATTACAATATACCCTATTTACACTTCGAGTACCGGGTACGAGTATACTCGTTCGAGGAGTTAGAATTGAACCATTTATCTCGTACTTTGTATATTACGAATAATTTGTGAAAGAACTTTTCTCAAGAATAGTATATATATAGACACACCCAAATTATCGGTATTTTTGCGAGGTGAGCTTATTTAAACTTTGTGCTGTAAAACGCCCGCATTTTTCCGGGAAATTTGAAGCTATTATAGTTCAAGGCACGAATTGAGAATATGTTTGCATAAATAATTCCCAAAAAAATACAAAAGTTAATTTATTAATTATTTTGCATGTGGGTGTTGGTGTGGGTGTGGCTCAGACCCATATTTTGGAAGTCTTTATAACCCAATTCGTGTTCCGTGCTAATTGGAAGGGTAAAGAAGTATTGAAATCGGTTAACCGGCCAGCGCTGGATAGCATTCTCAAGTGGAAGTTATTCTTGAAAAGTTTCGTGCCTGATGCACAACGACGATTATGCAAATGATTTGGGTGATTCTTTATGGCTGCTTACTTCCCCTGTCTGGCGCCATCTACGACGTTCTGGTGCCTACGGGCACCCACAATCTTACGGAATACCTCCAAACCCGACAGAAACGCCATCAGAACCATACGCCTGGTAGTCGGACCTGTGATGGCCACTCAACTGGAGGACCCGGTCACCTGGCGTGGCTTGCTCTACTTCTGGACGCTTAACTTTGCGGATATACGTTGCCCTCAGAACCGCTCTATCCCTGGGATAAATTCATGCGCGATCGCTGCAGGAGCGATTCGATTTGAGCCACGTCTACTTCACGCAGAACTCTCTTTTGCGGATGAGCGAGTATGTATCTTCTCGGGATTGGAGTAGAAACCTGACCCTACTCCTCCACTGGTTGAAAAATCGCTTAACATTAATGGCTTGTGGCAGCGCCTGCTGCTCAAACTTTAGCTTTGAACTGCAGCCTGCAGCCAAAGTCAACACACGACCGCCATTTTGTCAACAATGGCGTCAATTAAATAGAAAATTCAGCCAAGCCAAAATGCCGCAACAACAACAGCAACATTGACGGCGGCGGGTACGAAAGACAATAAATGCGTCTTAAGTGGTACATTAGGCTTGAAGACGCTCCTCCATACAGGGTGTAGCAGTTTTTATTTTTAATAGAATTTTAGCTATAATTATAGAAATTCTATTAATAAAAAGAAAGACATTTCCAGAGAGCTTACTCCAGATATAGGATGTAGTTAAGAATCAAATGTGACTCGAAAAGACTCGAATACACCTTGCGTACATCACCCTGTTCGGGCTCTCCACATAAGCGTTTTGTGTGCACAGCTAATTCAAATGCGATTATGACAACCATCGCGACCGACGAGAGCAGGAGGAGAGCAATGGAGAGAGAGAGCTTGGGATGAAGGAACCATGCAAAGTGCAGCTAGCATTGTTAGCAGAGCGGAAGGCGGTAGTGGGGGCCGGGCAGCCTGTTCATCTTTGCGGTGTTTGAACTTGTGATGGTGCATCGGAATAGGTAACTGTGTCTATGGCTGCCATGTTCATGCGGTGCTCAATATCACGATGCCGAGACTGGAAGTGCACAAGCTGTAAGCTTATCCGATAATACATGTCTCTTTTTCTGGTGCTTCTAGAGTCGTTCAATAAAACTACCAAACAACCATATTTTGATGGTTGCAGGAGTCTCTCAACCATAGCAGTCCGTATCAACTGAGATATGACGCATAAACTTGCATTGTGCATGCATGGGTCCACATACAACCACACCCACGCATTCTCATCTTTGAGCCATCCTCTGACGACACAGTTTCCTGCCCCGCAGACATGCATACGTGCATTTCCGCCCCAAATTATGCAACAAGCACATCCCGACACAGGACGAGACCCATTAGACACGTACTTTGATTTAGTTCAAAATTTTATTGCGGCGGCACCCACTGCGATCACGAGAAGCGCCAGCAGTAAATCAATCATGCTCCACAATCAGTAGATTGTCCAGAAAGTTGGCGCCGCGTGGGCAGGACCTGTAGAGTGCGAGGCAATCGGCGCCTGCCTTGCCGGCGACATAGGCATCGTGGTACGATTTATCCAGATCCGCCTTGCCAGGACTAAAGTAATCATTGGTTAGTGGCATAGACTAATTTAGTCAATTTAAGCGTTTACCTCAGGACAATGTTCAAGATTTCGGAGAACACCCCAATGTGGTGGTGGATTTGAGCATTTTCGCATATGGAGCGAAGCAGGCATTGCCTCCCCATGACCATGTCCTCATTCCGTCTGCTCATGTAATCCTCCAGAGCGGTATAGACCAGCAGTCTGGCATCGTCTGCATACCGTATGTCTCCACTGGCGGCCAGCCTCTCGATGTTCCGCCTCATCTGTGTCAGGGATCGGGCGAAAGTTCCCTCCCACTTGTCCCAAGGCCAGATGGGAGAGGTGGGGAGCGAATAGGTGCCTCCCTGGAGCGTGAAGGAGAGTACACAGGAGCGAAACGTGACATGATCCCCCAAGGGTATTGGCAGGGATGGTCCGATGCTAAACTTCATCGATCCGCTGTTCTGATAGATCAGATAACGTTTCTGGCGGTGCCCAAGGAACTCGGTGACATTACGGTAGGTGGTGGTAAGGCCAAGGGCCGGCAGAGCAATCAAGAACAGACCCGTAAGGAGCACACCCAGTCGGCACATTGTACATGGGAGAGCTTACCAAGACTAACTGCACTCCGGGCATAACAAGGCCGAGATCTGAAATCACTCTAAGTGAGCCATCATCAGCGTTAAATGACGAGTGGAAATTTCAGTGTCGCAAACATTTGTGCAGTCAATTAGCATCACGAATGTGACTGACATTTAGTTGGTGATAGGCATTCGGAATAAATTGGACTGATGCGTAT